CTTGTCCACGACAGGAAAACTATTCGAAAAAGTAATTTTGAAATTCCTCCGTAAACATATTGAAGAAAGAGGCCTGCTCAACGCAAGTTAGTTTGGTTTTCGTGCACGTCACAGCACGATATTGCAATGTATGAGTCTGGCGGACCACGTGACCCTTAATTTCAACAATAAAATGTCTACGGCTGCAGTGTTCTTGGACATCGAAAAAGCCTTCGATACCACGTGGCACTCAGGCTTGCTGTTTAAATTATCAAAATTGAAATTCCCCAACTCTCTGATCAAGCTTATTGGCTCCTTTCTGTCTAAACGTAAATTCAGGGTCTCTGTTGAAGGCGAAATGTCAACGCCTAGGGAAATGCAAGCAGGGATGCCACAAGTTTCGGTTTTTCCCCCACTCTTTTCAACATGTACATTAATGATGCCCCCCAAACTCATGGTATTCACTTGGCCCTTTTTGCGGACGACACATGTCTATATGCGACAGTTCGCAAAGATGGTTCTATTGTTAGAAAACACCACCGCGGTCTCAGTTCATTGGAGACCTGGTGTGAGCGCTGGAATATAAAAATTAATGAAGATAAGACTCGGGGGGGGCCTACTTCTCTTGTGGTCGTCGACCGCCTGAGTCTTGTCTTACTCTAAACGGAAGAAACATTCCATTTGTAAATAATGCAAAATATCTAGGTGTAGTCATCAATAAGAAAGTGACTTGGAGATTACACATAGAAATGATCGAAGCCAAGGCCTTTAGTACATTCATTAGAGTGTATTCTTTATTCAAAAATGAGCGATTGAGCGCTAACATTAAACTGACCCTCCATAAAGCTCTTATTAGATCCGTAATGACTTATGCTAGTCCCGCCTGGGAGTTTGCGGCAGACGCTCATCTAGTGAAATTGCAGCGCCTGCGAAACAAGGTTCTCCGCACGATTGGCAATTTTCCAAGGCGCACACCTGTCCGCGATTTGCACATGGCATTCAAAATCCCGTACGTATATGATTACATAACAAAATTATGCAGGCAACAAGCAGAAGTCATACAAAATCATGATAATGAGAATGTTCGCAACATCGGACAAAGCGAAGCCCGACACAGAAAGTATAAGAGGCTTAAACTTGGCGGCGGTCAGGCATACGACCGTTCAAATGACTAGACTGCCGTGGTAGCTAATACTACTAGGATATATATATATACATATAAAGGGCATAATCTGCTGTACCTAACCTGGACTGACGGAGGCCGTGTATATATGTACATTTAAATAAGAAATAAGTGTATTATAAATATGTGTAAATACAGACATTGGACTTAGTACTACAGACTGACTGACAATTGACAGACCCGACCTCTCGTCAGAAAGGGCGCTACACATGGAAAGGACAGTAACTTTCATTCAAAAGAAATATCTGGTCATGAGCCCCAGCTGGGGCTCGACACCAAGAGAGACAGATTGACTGACCGTCAGTTGTAACATGACATTGACCTTGAAATGCGTGATAATGTGGGATGTTTCCACACATTCATACACCCTGAAATTTCAGTCAGTTTACGGTAGGCCTTCAACTCTCACGGCTTCCTTGATAAGTCGGATTGGTATGGGTATTAACTGTAAAACGTGTACTATATTGTCACGTATTGGGTGTATAACGCGACAAGTAACTTCACGCCGTGCTGAAAATAGCGTATTTTATTTCACATTCGCGCTTACAATCACACAATTTACAGATTCACAACTACTGCTATCAGCAGTATTACAAATATTAGCCTGCAAATGCTAGACTACAACTGACTGTTGACTGCCTGACTAACTCGTAACTCTCCGCTGGCTAGAGTCCAACTCAACTTCGTAGGCTACTGCCTAGAGAACGCACTTCGGCGACTGATACACTTAACTGTCTTCGGTGGCTCTGCAGTTCCCTTATAAACCCTCAGCCGCACAACGGGAAAACAGTTATGTAATAGGCACCACTGTTGTCTGACGCCGTCAGACGAGGGTGAGTGGGCCCCTTTCCAGACCCATTACTTCTCAGAAAACCTGGGAGAGCCGAGAATCGAACCCGGACTTCTGGAACTGTAGCCAGGAACTGTGACCACTAGACCACAGGGGATGTCAATATGCCACAATATTTTCACTACGTTATACCGGTCTGAGTGCAACAATGCTCGGAATTTTGATTATCCATTACGTTTCAAATGCATACGTATGCCTTATAATCTTTGTAATAGAGTAGCATTCATGACATGCGTACGGCAAAGGTTATCATTTATCGGATTGTATGTACCCTTTGCCCCACTCTAAGATTCAGGTTTATTTACATGCAATTTTGTGAGTGTGCGTGCGTGTCTGTGTGTGAATCATATAGCACTGCGTAAATAATCAATATTTTGTCTGAATCTTGTGGACACAGAGAAGCGTATATGAAAAATATAGGCCCCCTTTCCCAAGTATACAGACATTGCCATTCTCATTTGCAATAATTTCTTCTAACTATTGAAAACTGACTGGATCCAGATTCTGTTAGGTAATGACAACTCGTTATTTACGTATTTGCTGAGACAATTTTAATTTAATGTTAGACCAGCCTCCAGAGAGTTTGTTATATGATGAACCAAAATTCTGACAAGACTTTATAACGTGTGGTGTGAGTGTGACAGCTTTAAATTTGAAAGACATTATGAATCTCACATTAAAAAACGAACATTTCAAAATGCCAGCATTGGTGTGAATTGCTACGTGTCAGTTTTCTATGGGGGATGTAATTTTATAACAATCATTGGGCCTCTTAATTTGTGTGTCATGTAGGGAAGTCAGTTTTAGCAGGATTCATAAGGACTACATTGTAATGTGACTTCCAATCAGCGGTTCAAATTTAATGTGGAATATAGATCATACATTTGGCAGGAGTTACTCTACCATGAGGTCCGTTATATTACCTTCTCATTATATTCAAGTACAGTCAGTCCCTGCTCATTTGGCAGGTTGTTTTTCTGGTACCTGGTGCAGAGCAAGGACTTAACCAAACCAGAATACTACTTTCCATAACTGAAGTGTTATAATTTAAACAATCCCTGCCTAGTATATAAACCAGCATTTTTATTAGAACTGTCACTAAAACTACCACTTTTCATGATTCTGTCATAACACAAAGCCACAAATGATTGCATTTATTTTATATCACTGTAGTATAGTATAGAGCATGACACAGCCCACAGCCAGTGAAATTATGGTTACTGTCAGTTTAAACCTTTGACATTGCTAACAAAGAGCACTGGCGACCAAATACTGGTGTTGTATATACAGAGTGGTGGCAACATGTTGGGACTGACTGCGTTGTATCTTATTAAAGATGTTGCACCTGTTAGCAGTACTATCATATTGTATGATGTCAGTCTTTGAATGCCAGATTAGTTCCTTAAATTAGGCCATGACCACTTCCTTCCGGATCTGTTCCAATTTGTAATTCACTGCCATCCAATCATTTGATACTACATAGTCTGAGTTACTGAGAATGTTGGTAGACTGCTGCCAGTCTTTGCATGTTCAAAATTTATAACTTTATTGGCCTCTTTCGGGGGCACGGAGTAGTGTAGTTGGTTGAGGCACCATGCTACAGGCTGGGAGGTTGTGGGTTTCATTCCTGATCAGATTATTGGATATTTCAGTTGACCTAATCCTAGCCACACTATGGCCCTGGGGTCGATTCATCCTCTCACAGAAATGAATACAAGGAGTCTTCCTGGGGTAAAGTGTGGCGAGCGCATAAGGCTGACAAATTATGTAATTTAAATGTAGCAGAAGAGCATCAGTAATCTAATTATTCGTGCATTCCTTTGGCTTCTACTTCCAGAAAAGCATCGTGACTTCTCTCTTTTCTAGTGACTAAGGCTGTATCATACAGCAAGGGGTGATGTGTGACAGCAAGAATAGGGCAGGTTATAGCTGACCAATGTATTTTTTTTTAATTCTTTTACCATTCCAGTAACATAGTGAACAAAAATGAAGACTGTACTTTCAAGCAGGTATAAAATTCTGTTCCTCTCAGTTTGTTGTATGGACTATTACATCTGGTGCATAAATAAGGAAATGATGCAACTATAGCTGGTATTTTGTTTCAAACCTCTTGCTCTCATGGGTCCTTGGCATTGTATTAGCAATTTTATACTATTTCCTGGCTTCTTTGAAACACTGATGATTTCTTCAGATGTACAAAAATGAATATCCCATTGAGTGTTTTGACAAAGTTATAAAAATTAATGGGGCTCAAAATCATGACATGTAGTTATATTCTATTGTTAGCTCTCTCTGCTTTCACAGCAGTTGTGCCAGAGCAACGACTGCTGCAGTTCAAAGGACTTTATCTCAGTACAACAATTCTGGGAGACAATCTGAGAAGGTGTTTTCATTTCCTGAACTTACAGAAAGAGTGTGAAACAAATCATAGTGTTACATGTAGCATGTTTAAAAAATGTAATTTCACATAGAGTGATCCATGTTGATATGTCACTTCTACAACAGTTGACAGTATTCAATGAAATTTTTGTACAAGAATATCCGTCTTGTTTCCATATCGCTTTTAACATTTTGTGGAGTTCTGTCTTTATATGATACCTGCAGCTAATAAGTAAATGTCATGATATAATAATTGAGCAAGCCAGGATATCTCAATCAGTATATCAACCAGGGTGCAGTGTGGACCACCAAGGAACTAGTTCATTTCTGAACAGGCACATGAAATTTCTCTCTTTGTAGGATCAAAACTGGCTCTGAGCTCATCCAGCCTCCATTCACTTCCATATAGTATTGAGGTTAGGAATGCATGGAGCTGTACCTCGACTCCCCTTTGAAGGAAACTTTACCTTTATGTAACAGTTTAGCTGTTTTCTTGAACACCACATGGCATCGGATTTTACTTGTAAATGTGAATGAGTTCTTTTACAGGTTTGGTGTGGCATGCAGCCAGGCATCGTGCAGGTCCCAGTGTTTGTATACCCATCGCCTGTCACCTTCTTTCTTGAAGATCAGAGCACTCACAAGCAGGTCCTCACACTCTACAATCCATATGACTTTCCAATCAGATTCAGAGGTGAGCACTATACCTATTGACAGTATTACATGATGTAGAATGGTTTATTTGGAAAGAAATAATTTCATCTGCTCCCAACAGGCGCCACAGAGAAGACTTGCTCTTAACATCAGTGGCAACACAGCTGTCCATGTTAATGACCATAAGGGCTGTTAACTTCATCTGTCCCTACTTCATATTGGGAATACATTGTCAGAGACTAAGCTGACTGTTCAGTCATGTCTTCTGTGATCTGGTGCCATGTAGTCCAGTAGATATTTACCAGTGTTCTGGAGGAAACCTGCCACCTTGATCTTCAAGGTAGAAGAGTTTGTAAATATCTTCCAGACTTCATGTTATTATGTCCCAGAAGAGTGTAATGTGCATATTGCTATGCAAACCTCCAGTTTCAAATTTCAGTTCTGTGTACGGCACCAAACAAGTACACAGTTGTGGACCCTGAAGGCTCCATCAGGCCCAAGTTTTGTATTGACATTGTTGTCAGACACACCGCCATCTCGGCAGCCAACTGCAACATTACTGACAAGTTCAGGATACATTTGCAGAACCACACAACCAAGCAGGTGAGTCATATGCATTGCCTGGCTAGCCACTTTGCAAGCTTTATGGACCTGAGGTTGCTCGATGGAGTTTATGTTCAGGGGTTAACTGTCATGCTCTCAAAGTTCACTAGGCATAGCTGCATGCAGAGAAGTTCATATTCACTGAATCTCTGGTGAATGACTTTCCTTACTGGGGAGGTGAGGGGGTTGCAAAATTACACGGTGCAGTCACGTAGTTTCAAATAGGCCAGTCAACACAACGGCAGTGATAATATTCAATAAGGCAAAATAGATGCTGTCGTATCAGCATTTGTTTATTTGACCAGTCCTTATTGTGATATGTTTCCACCATTCTTTTTAGGTCATCCTCAGGCAATATAGCTAAGTCCATGAACTGTGTCAAAGCATTAAATATGGATCCATATATTAATAGGGATTATATTTTTAGATTTTTTATTTATGTAATTAAAATTATAAGTTGCGATTAGAAAGATCAAAAAGTTAAAAAAATTAAAATTGTTATAAATATTAAAACAAGTTATGAGGCAGCTAATTATTAATCTGCTCTGTTTCGTTATGATTGAGATGGCTGAACCTGCTAGTGCTGGGGTCCTTCTCAATATTTTAAAATTTTGTTTGATTTACACTCTTCTTGGTGCTGTGTAAGGTCTATCCTCAGTATTCTTATTGCTGTGTAGTTTATAAACTGAATTTATGTCTCCATAACAACACATACTTTCTAACCTATGCTGTCCCTTTCAAGGTAGCCTCCTTGGAGCTCTATACAATGATCCCAGTGATCACATCACTGTTTGAAGCATTTCCTGAAGTCAGTTATTTGAAACTTGGCATGTGCATCCTGCAATTTTGCTTGAATCATGGTGACATCACTGAATCTTTTTCCCTATAGCACCATCTTGGATTTTGTGAAATGAAGTTGCGCATCACTAAATCTGGGAGGATGTGGAACAACACAGTCATGTTACTTTTAGCAAGAAATTCACACACACAGTCAAAGCAGAGTGAGCAGATGCGTAGTCATAGTGGAGAAACCAGGCCACTAAATTCCAATTTTCAGGTCCATTTTGCTGCACACTTTCCTACAGACACTGTAAGGTGTCATTGTAGTAATGGTGGTTTACAGTTTGTCCCTTTGGAGCAAATCCATAATGCACAACTCTTGAGTGTAGTAGAAAGCAATGAGTGCGCACTCTACATTTGAGTGGACTTGTCTTTTTAGGGGATGGAGATAATGGATTCTTCCACTGAAGTGACTGTTGCTTGGTTTCTAGTTTGTACCCATAAACCCATATCTCATCACCTGTGATTATCTTCAGAAGGAATTCTGAGTCTCTTTCATGCCTCCCTTGAAGGTTCTTGCACATGCTAACATGATTCTCCTGCTGTTCCCCACTTAGCAGGCAGGGCACAGATTTGGTAGCAGTCTGATGGGTGTTCAGATTGTCTTTCAAAATGCTCTGAACTGACCAAAATGAAATTCCCAGTGTGTTAGCAACTTCTCAGATAGTGATTCAACAGAAGCCAGACCCCTTTTGAAGTTGGAAGATGTCTTAGAAGCTTGTGTTCTTCCAATTTTCTGCTCTCCAAAACATACATTCAACACTTAAAAGGTTTCCTGCCATTTTTTTTTTCCAGTTTAAAGCAGAATCTGATGCAGACACACTGTTGTTTCAAGTCTGCCACTTTGTGGGTGGGCAAAAATTGCAAACAGAGCAACACTGTGTTGTGCTTAACAATAAATTACTCAACAGGGACACATGCTACAACATTTTTTCAACCAGGAAATGACTCAGCAAACTCTACTCTCTCTCTACCTAGCAGAAGTTTGTGCTAGCAGTAATAGTGTCATGTTTTGGTTACTCCAGAAATTATTTGATCACATATTGTACATCAGGAACCTGTTCATTTTATAAGACTTAATGTATACAATTATGATCAAAAATTTGTATTCATACATGGTTAAAGAATTAGAATACACCATTAGGATGGGCCAGGAAAACTGGGTGGGCTGGAAATTAAATGGGACACATCGGCTGCTGGTCTGTGTTAATCATGTAAATCAGTTGGATGATAACACAAATGCCATAAAGAAACACATGGAACCTCTAATTGACACTAGTAAGGAGGTTAGTCTAGAAGTAAACTCAGAGAAAACTGAGTATATGTTTGATGTCTCATCACCAGAATGCAGGGCAAAATCATAGCATAAAGACAGGTAATGGATCCTTTGGAAATGTGCACAGTTCAGATATTTGGGAACAAGAGTTCAAATCAAAATTTGCATTCAAGAGTGGATTGAATTCAGGCAATTTTTGCTACCATTCAATTCAGAACCTTTTGCATTTTCTTCTGCTATCTAAAAATGTAAAAATTAAAATATATGAGTAAGTAAAAGTAAAGCTATCCCTATAACAGGCCGTGAAGGCCCATAGGATTGTGATACGTTGAGGGTCCCACATTATCTAGACAGTCGGCTCAAAGATGGTGGTAAGATTGTCAGCCTTATTCACTGGCCACGCTTTACTCCCCAGGAAACAATACTGTAATTTTGCATGTAGTTTTGTGTGGGTGTGAAACTTGGTAACTGATACTGTGGAAAGAACTTGGCTGAATTTGACAACAGTATGATGGGAATGATGTTTGGACTGAAGGAGGATGAAATAGTAGGAGACTGGAGAAACAGCATAATGAGGGACCTCATAAGTTCTACAGTTATAATTAGAATAATCAAATCAAGGGGATGAGATGGGCAGGGTATGTAACACACACGAGGGCGAAGATGAATGGATGTGGGGCTTTGGTGGGAAAGCAAGAAGCAAAGAGACAACTGGGAAGATCTAGACATAGGTGGGAGGGTAAACTAAAAATGGATCTTTGAGAAATAGAGTGGGGTGGTATGGACTGGATAACTCTGGCTCAGAATAGGGGGCAGTGGACAGCTGCTGTGTACTCTGTAATGAACCTTCAGCTTCTACAAAATTTAGGGAAATTGTTGAGTAGCTGAGCAGCTGGCAGCTTCTCAAGGAGGACACAGATCCATGGAGTTAGTTAAGCAATTAAAGAAACTGTTACTATACAAATTAATTCATCCACTTGATAATATCAAATTCATTTCTGAAACAGTTAACAGCATATAAAATAAACATTGACAGAACCACAAACCATGGTGAAAGTAACCATGATGCCCTAAGCAGCATACCTTCAGTGAATGTTTAATATGTAACATCACTCACCAAACATTATGGATTGTGGTTGTGCAGTAGATGTTTCCAGCAGAAAAAAGGAACTTGAATTCTGATCATTGTTTGAACCACAGTCACACTAAATGGAAGAACCAGATCTGGGAGACTCAAAATTTCTTGCACTGAATGTGAGTTGTTGCCCACGTCAGGATTCACTGGCTGGGATCAGAAAATGCATTCACTAGATGTGGATGTCACTAAACCAGGACTTCTCTGTAACATAATATGAAAGGAGCATTATGACATTGTAAATTGAGTTTCCTGTATGACATACTATAAAGCAAAATGAACTTAGTTGGAGATTGAGGTTGTAACCATTGTCAGGAATAAAAAAAATATGAAAATCAGGTAGCAAGACATATTTTGGCTGCCAGAGAACAGTGGGTTACAATTTTGTGTTGCGTTGTTATGGCCTTCATCTCCACTCAGCATTGAGGATTAATTTCTTTTTGTTGTGGTGTTTGGCCCAAACTCACACAGGCCAGGCATAAGATAATGGAGAAGAAATCAAATTTGAAATAGAGGTTAATTGTAATGACCATTTATTTTGATCTTAACATCTTTGGGTGCAGTTCACCATTTCCTGTATGCAGCATGTGACCAAGTGAAATTGCCAGAACTCCAAAATTTACCTGAACACAGGGTGGGTTATCAGTTACCAGCCAGAATTTTTCAGTTGCCACTGTTAGACAGGCCACCATATTTTTTGACCCTTGAACACTGTATTATTAAGTGTTAACATTCCTGTGATGTTTCAATTAATGTAATATAATAGTTATTCCATTGGAATTTTTTTCACAATTTTCTGTACTAAGCTGGGTATCTGCATGTAAATTGGTTACTCAGTTAACTTTGAAATTTACCTCCATGTTGTTTGCCACATTACCACTGTCAGCTGTGGAAGTTTAGAATTGGCTTTGCAGTTGATAGGAAAGCAAGATATAGCTGCAACTCTGCTACCAGGGAAACAGAGTGGCCCAGCAGCAGATCATGAAGAGTTCCAGAGGTTGCCTCCCAAACTGGATCTGTCTGCAACTGGCGGTGTGCAGCAGCAGTTTGGTGTTATGCGTGACTATAGGCAAGGTATGCACACACTGCTGATATAACAGTATAGTGTGAATTGTCCATTGTGAATTACTTATTGTGTGTTGTCTGTGCAGGTCGCATACAGACACCGAACTACATAGTGGTTGTGGCTGCAGTCGTGTGCATCGTGGCTCTGTTACTGCCCACACAAGGAGACCAGGACACAAGATTTCCCACATACCTGCACCTCACATCTCACCTCAAACTCGTGTTTGCGTATGTGTTAGGTGAGTAGCAAACAGAGCGTGAAGTCATGTCCACTTCTCAGGTTCACTGATCTGAACCAATTATCATATAGGCTCTTACTGCCTCAAGCTGATTTAAAAATATTCCCACACTTAACATGTTACTGAAGTAAGGATTTTATCTGGTATGTATGGAACTGATTGAATATGCATTATTAGTATTACACCACCAAATCTCAAGGCTTATGTATATCTTCCTGCTGTTATCAGAATCAGGTTAAACTGATTTCCATGCTTTGGTTATTTTTCTCTTTCCTGTAGTAAAATAAATACGTGGTGCAATCCAAAAGTTCCCGAAATATATTAATAAAAACTATTGCATCTTACCTAGANCTAGATCTTATTCTGAACCATCACCTTCAAAGTAGTCCCCTTGGGAGCGCATACACCGATCCCAGCGTTTCTGCCACTTTTCAAATGCATCCTGGAAGTCTTTCTTTGTTAGGGCATTTAGTACCGTCTGTGTTTCTGCTTGAATTTTCTCAACTGTATCAAATCTTCTCCCCTTCAACTTGATTTTCATCTTGGGGAAGAGAAAGAAGTTGCATGGAGCTAAGTCTGGTGAGTACAGTGGGTGGGGAACAACTGCCATCTTGTTTTTAGCCAAAAATTCCTGCACAGTGTAAGCCGTATGCCATCGTGCATTGTCATGGTGGAGTACCCAGTCGTTCGTGCGCCATTTCTCTGGACGTTTTCTCCTCATTTTCTCCCTCAAACACCTTAGAACATCACGATAGAACTCTTTATTGGCTGTCTGACCAGGAGGGACGAACTCCTTATGAACAGTCCCATCAATACGAGTATCAAAAATACAGATCAACGTGGACTTAATGTTGCTCTTGTTTTTTTTGGCCGAGGTGAAGAAGGGCTCTTCCATTGCAGAGATTGCTGCTTGCTTTCAGGGTCGTAGCCATAAACCCAACTTTCGTCACCAGTGACAACCTTCGAAAGAAAGTTTGGATCCTCTTGAAGCTGTTGCTGAAGTTCCCTGCAGACTTCCAAGCGATGCTGCTTCTGTTCATTTTGCAGCAGTCGTGGCACAAACTTCGCTGCAATCCACCTCATGTTCAGTTCCTCTGACAAAATTTGTTGACATGTACCATAATTTAGTCCCAAGGTGTTACAGAGGTCTTGGATGGTCAGTCTACGATCTTGCAGAATCAGATCCCTAACTTTCGCGACATTTTCTGGTGTTTTGCCCGTTGACGGCCGTCCCGAACGATCGTCATCATCAGTCAATGTTCGGCCATTTTTAAGACGCTTATACCAGTTGTAAGTTTGTGTCTGGCCTAAACTGTTTTCACCAAAAGCTTGCTTCAACATTTGGTGCATTTCTGCAGCGGTTTTCCCAAGTTTGAAACAAAACTTTATACAGACACGCTGCTCTCTCAGGTCAGCCATAGCAAAACTACAAACTCATGGAAAAACAACAATAAACCCAACCACTCAACTTGACGCCGCTTGCCACACTGATTCAAGAAGGATGTATGAGGAGACACCTAGCAGTATTTTGATGTACTCATAACCATTTGCGCGCAAAATTCAAATTTCAGAAACTTTTGGATTGCCCCACGTAAATAACCATTCATGCTTGGCCAGTGAAACCTTCTGTAGTCCTAGTACCATATATACCAAAATGGAACATGGGGCTTCTTCCCTGTTTTCAGAGTTAACAATAAATTTGGGAAGATCTAATTGCCTACTTTCCTTTCATATGATATGAACCACTTAGAAAATGAAAACATTTGGGGTGGTGGGGTTTCCACAGACACATACGTACAAATAAGCAGCAAGATGATTTGATGATCCTCCCTGATACAACATGGACTACATAGAAAATGAAAAAGTTATGGATGGGGGGGACAGCAAAACAATCTCATGAGCCTCCTGACAAAAATTAGGGGAGGACTCAGGCAGACAGACAGAGTTGGATACACAGACAGCAAAGTGATCTCATGACCCTCCTTTTATTTTTTCAAAATCAGGAAAATAGACAAAAACATGAAGGGTTATGTTGGATTTGTGAAATTCATATTTAATGAATCTCTGGGTAAATGCCCTTGCTTAACAATAAATCAAGGTTTTCATTGAATGGAGCTGTGGAAAATACAGAAAGAAACTACTGACTTTTTACAAGATTTTAATTTTATATAATTATGGTAATGTAATTTTTATATGTACTTCCCTGTGGGCTAATACATTAATGTGATGGGGAGGTTTGTATGCCCTGATCACCTGGAGAGGTATGCTGCCTGGGGCATAAGCTGCTAATAAGATTACTCGTGCTAGAGATGTTCAAGGTTATGGGCCACACTAAAGGTAGCCCTTAATCCTGCAGGTTCAGAATTGAGTGTGAGGCTAGCAACCTCACTGTGGAAAACAGTGCATTTAAAATAATCTAACAGTGGATGTCAGTTACATTATTTATGAATATTTGTTATAAAGGAGGCCAAGGTTGTTAGGGAACCATACAGCCGAGGAGTAAGGAAGTGATTTCTTTGCCTAAGTAGTCAAGGAGACTGTTTCATTACAAAGAAACACAGTTACATAATCAGTAATATCCAATTAATTTCTAAAATAATTAACAACATATGAACCATCCTCAGTGGGGAATCAAAGCGACCATGACACCACAAACACCAGGTCATCAGTGCATGTTCAGTGTGTGACAGCACTATTTCTGATAAAGAGGAAACATAAATGTTGATTGTTTCACCCACATTTATTCTAAATTTGGGTTCTGATTCTGGGCAGTTGAAAAATTCTTAATCATTTAGTGTTGTGTCCTGTTTGTAGTGTTTAGAGATAAAAATGGAGAGATTTTGTTATGTCACTCACAACATGTCATGATTGAAGTAATAAAAACTTTTGATTGTCTCAGAAAAACATGTACATTTTTATTTGAAAATTCCATATACTAAATGGTGATTATTTGTTAAATTAAAGTTCACTGAATATTGGAAAATAATACATTGTTCATATCAGGCTTCAGCTTGAACCAGAAATAATATTAATGAAGTATGTGACCTCACTAAAAAAGTAAACATGAAACCAAGATATATATTTTTTTCTGATCTGTTATATGTACTGAAGTTTGCATGTTGTCATATTGTTACTTTGACAGTCAGGAGCCCTGGGCTACCACAGTTTGGCCAGAATGTCAATTAAGAAAGCTGTGGACTGAAAGTGGTAATCCCTCATGAAGACATCACTTCTGACAACTTCTTGGTGTATCAACTACATTGAGATTCTGTGTTTCTGTAATGAAGTTTTCCCTTGCTGTTAAAATGGCAGCTCATGTTGAGAAAGAAGGTGTTAATGTGAACAATAGAAAACTTTGCAAAGCAAATAATTTTTTACAAAGCCTAATGTGTGATGCCATTGAAACTCTAATGCATTTTGGTATGGAGTTGCAGCCTCCAGGTACACGTCACCATGTAGTCTGATACTAGTTCACTAGCATTTCAGATGAACACGCTGTCTTCATGTTCACGATCAAAGAATAATCTGTGCAAGCAAGTACCAAGCAGAATCATCTTATTACACTATTGATGACACAGGTGCAATATCTGTAATCATAAAAATCATCAGGCAATGAAATGATGCAAGTGACTGCAGTTCTGATAGTGTAAGTTTTGTGGCATTGCTTGATATTCTGGGTTGTGATAACCAACATTTCTGAGGATCATTCTGAGTCCATTATCAGGTTCAAAAGAATTAGGATGAGAATGTGGTTAGGTTATATAGGAAGGTTAAGTGAACTGGGAGGACATATTCTCCCTGAATAGGTTATGGAAATGGCACTCCCACAAGGAACAGAAGAAGGTGCCTCCAAAGACAAGATAGTAATTTCCTCCCAAAATGACACTCACCTGAGCACTCAGGAGAATAGTTTTTCCCTGTTTTCCTTCTGTAGTGGCTCTCTAAAGGTCATCTTTTTTCATAATTCCATGTCTGTCCTGCAACTATAATGCTACAGTTCCTAAAGGTAAGGTAAAGGGTAAATTTGTCCTTGTGCTTAACTAATTAAGCACTATGCCATAAAGGCGTATGGGGGAGTGGATGTACGTTGTGCGTTCAAGTTCTAAGGTCCCCGATTTTTTTTTTCTCACGCAATAATCATACAAAAAATTTGAAACTTCTGTCACTTTTCAACGTAATCTCCCTGCAGCCGTACACATTTTTCTCAATGTGGACGCCATGATTCCATGGCCGCTGCGAACGCTTCTGTAGGAGTCTGTTTTGACCACTGGAAAATTGCTGATGCAATAGCGGATTGAAAAACGGCATCCATGTCTCATCCATTGTCACAGTTGATGAAAAGAAAGCCCCATTCATGCCTTCATCACGTGTCAACATCGCCTGGCAAATTGCCATGCGTGCAGCCTTGTGGTCATCCGCCAGAATTTGTGGCACCCACCTGGAGGACACTTTCCGCATTCGCAGGTCTTCATGCAGGATTTTGTGCACAGGTCCCAAGGAAATGCCAACTTTGGAGGCGATGTTTTCCACACTCAATCGGCGATCCTCCAAAACAACTTTCTCAACTTGCTCGACCATGTTGTCAGACCAGCTGGTGCGAGGCCGAGGTTGTTTTGGTTCATTGTCACACGACGTTCGGCCTTCTTTGAACTGTCGCGCCCATGAACGCACATTTTTCACATTCATGACACCATCACCACACGTCTCACTCAACTGGCGATGAATTTCATTGGGTGTCGCACCACGCAAGTGGAGAAAACGAATGATTACTCGCTGTTCTTGTAACGAAAACGTCACCATTTTAAGTATCAGAAACACTCCTCACTCTCGCCGCTACCACTAGAGTTCTGTGTGCCGTAGAGTGCTGCCATCTCTGTCACGCATTCACAAAGAGTGAACACATATTTTAAACTAAACCGCATGTGTCTATCTGCTCCCAGTCCTGAGAAAAAAAATCGGAGACCTTAGAACTTGAACGCCCCTCGTATAGATCCACATTTTCTTGACCTCACCGCTAGCTGGATGTGAGTGGTCAGCTTCACTTCCTGGCCGCTTTACCCGTGGGGAAAGAACCCCCAGTACCCACCGGATAGGAGGTTGGGTGAACCCCAGAGCTGGTCTGAACGATATGGAGAAGAGAAAATTCTTGACACTGCCAGGACTCGAACTCCAACCCCTTCGTTGTCCAGCCCATAGCCAGTTGCTATACCAACTATGCAATCCCACCTCCACAGTTCCTAAGGGGGGATTTTATTCTCATGTTTTCTGATTACTGTTTCTGTTGGCCTGGACTGTGCTTCATGTTCTGTCACCCTCCTGTGGATGTGAGTGGCCATGACCACTTTCCATGCAACCTGACTATATATCCTAACCCATCCTCACCCTACACACATCACCTCTGAAGATGTGTTAGCGTGTTCAGTCCCAGCCTTCAACTTCATTGCTTCTCTCAGAAAATTTTCCACACCCTTCCATGTATACCTTTGACCTGTGTACTCTTTCAATTTAAAATTCAGTATCCTTATCTTCCTGTTCAGATCTTATAAATGTCTCACTTCTTGTTCGTGGAGTTCTTGCACCTCCTCCCAACTCCTTATTGCTCTCTGGATCTGCTTGTGATTGTCATTTTTTTCAATCATTTGCTTCATCTAGTCAAATTTGAGCCCAAGGGTTTCCATTTCTTGTTTGATTCCATTAATTTAATTTCTGTGTTACTCCATAAATCTTGAGATATCATTGCTTCCCTCCAAAGGCTTCCTCACATTATCCAGAAATGCTATTGATTTGCACCAAATGCATTTGTGGGCCCAAATTCAACTCCGTCCTCTGTGTTATCAGTAGAGCAAAATAAAACATTATGATTACTACTGAATAATGCTGTGCTCTAATCCTGCAGGGTTGGTCACAATGGTTATCCTGAGACCATCTTAACAGCAAGTAGGAGAGTGAAATACTTCCATTACTGGAACATCTACAAGACACGTAATGTGGCAATTCCGTCTCTTTGAGATATATTTAAGAAAAAGGTCACATGTTCATGTTGTAAGAGACATACAATAAAGTGGATAAGTCAGTAAACATATGTAATAAACATTGGGCACGTTGTGAATCTAGACTTTGATACCGTACTAGCACAACATTATGCACCAGAAGATGCAATTTTGCTTTAGTTACTGCATTTTCATTTCATTAGCCTTCTCTTGCTCCAGTCACGATTGATCTTTGCACTGATGCTGCCACAGTCCAGTCACCAGACATAAGATTGCCTTCTTCAAGGTACCATGTTGGATACAGGACAGCAGAAGAGCACTTGCAATTATTTGTTCAGTCTGCTGTGATTCTGAACAATTTTACATTTGAAAATTACTGTTTCTTCAATGTGATGCCTTGTAGTTTGATAGAGTGTCCCATCATTTTGGAGGAACCAGCTGTTTGCATGTTCAGGTTAAAGGAGTAAGCCACATGTGAGAAGTTAGGTGCACACATAGGGAATGGAGGACAGGAAGCAGGACCACAGTAGAGTTAATGGGAGATGGTGCCCCTGAAAATGACAAAAATAATTCTGAGGTGAGGAAAGATGAGAATAGTTCTGAGGGAAAAGAGCTGAGAGGATTTCCAAAGAGGAAGTGCAGAAGGGATGATTGGCTGGTACATGGTTCTCTGAGGAGTGTCAAGACAGGACAGTGTTTCCCTGTAGGTCATCTCACAGTGTCCTGTCAAAAGGCAGTGTATCTAAATGCAGAAGGGCCTGTTCATTGCCAACTGCCAACCTTAGCTACAAGAAAACAGTGGAAGGGAAGGAGGCCCTTAAGAGGGGAGTTATCAAGGGATCAGTCTGGAGAACCACCCTACAAGGTGTATCCACCAAGGAAGGTCTTCTGCACTCCTTCAGCAGCTAGGGAAGAGGCTTCTGTGTGTTGCTCAGGCAGAAGCCATCTTTCTTGTTCATGTTACTGGGGCAGAGCTTAATCTCTGTGGCCTCCCTAATGACATGATCCTTATGCCTGGAATTTGTTACAAGAATGCTTATGTTATGGAGTAGGACACAGTGGTTAATGAAAGTTAATGGAGTGTTTCACCATGACTGACTTATCCAGACAATATAAAGATGTGTATGTCTGTGGTGCTTCTCAGCAGTGGTCTAAGTGGGTCAGTCTGTCTAGTATATAGTTGACGACACTTGCAGGTGATGGTGCACATGCCTGGAATGTGCAGTCCCAGGTCAGATGGATTGAGAGGCCAATAAATATGCTGGTTGATATAGCTGTTCTGTCTGGAAGTGACCTTGAACAACTCCAATTCATTATGCAAACTTTCCTGGTCAGAAAGGATTTCTTCAAATTTCAAAGCAAGGCATGCTTGGTGGGTGAGTGGTGATGGAAGATGGAGTTTGGATAGATGGTGTTGTTGACGGGTACAGCCTATGATCCAATGAATCTTCAGGTCTCTTGTAAATGTCGATGTCGGGGAAAGAAAGATGTCCATCTCTTCCCATCTCCATAGTGAATTTATGTTGTAGTGTACAATATTCAAATGGAAGCTCTTCAGCTCCTCTGGTTCACAGAGGCAGATTATGAAGTAATTGTCCACATAACAGAACCAGCAGAGGGGCTTAATGGGTTGCCCTGTCATCTGTGAAGAAACAGGAAAAAGTTGTGAACCTGTGCCCACTCTATTGTAAGTCTGTAGACCTGGCTGCTGAAACAGAAGAAGGAAGAAATCAGAACATGCCTGAAAACTCTGGAGATATCCTCATCAAAGTATCAACCTGAGAGGTTTAAGGTCTCCAATCCTCATCAAAGTATCAACCTGAGAGGTTTAAGGTCTCCAATCCTCATCAAAGTATCAACCTGAGAGGTTTAAGGTCTCCATAATTGGCACCCTGGTGTAGAACAACACATCAAAGCTGCTGCAATAAACCGAACTAAACATTGTCACATCCCGAAAGACAGTCATGCTCAGTTACTGCCATGAGAACCTCAGATATCACAATTTTACAGTTATGAGGTGTGACTAGGAGAGTTTCAGGTTTTCAAGAAAGAACACCTGATACGAGCTCTTTCCTTATATTCCAATATTTTGTGGTTTTGCAATGCAAAAAGATCAGTTCAGAAATGCTCCTGTTTGAGTCTGTTCTCCAGTAACTTTTATATTTTTCCATGCCATTCTTGTTTCTAGTTATATCATATGTTCTAACCAGTGATTACTTGGTTTTCTCATAGATTTTATCCCGTTTGCTTTAAAGTTCATGATTTTTTTAAGTGACAATCCAGCATCAATAGCTTTGGCTTTTTTTTTTAATGAGGATGTATGTGGTGCCTGATAAGAAAAGCATTACTCTTTCCAAAGTTATAAATGACAATTTAAGTGCAACATTTGGAGCTTCTGTGGTGAATAAATTAACTGAAATCCTCTCCGGCAAGCAACCATGCTCATTTTACAGGAAAAAATTTGACACTTTTGCTGACTGCCTCCATCATCAGGATCAGTACTAAGATTTTAGAGTCAAGTTGAAGCAGTTCTGACAAATCAATGTATTGGATTATTTAAACAAAAAGAAATGAATTACAACTTTCAGATGTCACCTTTGCATTTTACTGAAGAGTTCTGCCAAGAGGTAGCTGTTTTTTACCACTTCAGCCCTTGTGCTCTAAGGATTATTGAGTTTTGGTTCTATCTTGTAGGCTTATGTCAGGGGATTGAAAATAAATTGTAGTGCCAGAAGCTGAAAGATCATTATTGAGTGAAGTAAATAAAGGATCAGGTTAAAAGTCCATAGCTGAAACAAAATATTAGCTGACTGGGCTTCACATAAGTATACAATGGACATTTCCCTCAAGTCATATTTGTCTTAATCAGTACATGAAAATAAGTTTCATTCCAGTTCATAGTACTATTTGGGGAGCAAAGAATCTACTGCATATAATAAATGTAGGTAATAATTTATACAGTGAGGTATAGCACAATAATGAATGTGCAAATTACTTGTACTTCCTTTCTCACTGATGACTCAGAGAAGATGGACTGAAATGGCAATAATGCAGGGAAGACATACTCCATCAGACTTTTGAAAGTTAGAAACATGTCAATTGGAAACTGGGGCCTGGATATCTCAGTATAGTGACTAGGCCATGGGCTGGATGACCAGTAGTCTGGGTTCAGTTCCCAGCAATAGTAGAGATCTTTCCCCTTTCCATATCATCTAAGATTAAGAATTAACAGAACCATATTTCCACTTCCCCTTATGTGTATATCCATGATAACTTCTTTTACCTGTATTGGAAAAATTACTTCAATACTCCATCTTACTTCAGTCAGTTAAGTTACATAGGGATTTTATAATCGTTTGATTCCTAGTTGATATTTTTCCAGTAAGTTTGAAATTCTAGATGCACAATCATATTTTGTAGGTTATGCTTCTGCAAAATGTAGTGCTATATCATCCGAGAGTTTTCTCACTTATCGTGCATTCAACTCTTCTGCCTGGGTGGTTGAATAATGTGCAGGAAGTTATTAGACAGTTGCACTGTACATTTGGGATAGTTCACATATACCAAGTATCAAACTCTTTTATCCAAGACCACTTCTATATTCTTCTGACTTCATTCATTTCTTATTATCAGTAAAGATGCTGATGCAGTATGTGCTGTCTGCATAAGATGAAGGCAAGAGGTTCTGCCAAACTACATGGCAACACATCTGAGAAGACAGTAACCTTCATTGATGTAGGAGGCTTCTTCAGCAGTGCTCACCAACTTGCTCATCTGTAGTCATACTTTCATTTGTTTCTTTCATCATCCAGGCAGGTGCTGTAAATCAACTCACAGTACTGCTCAATGTCCAGGTACTCCACTCAGGAACTCCCATTTCTCAAGATTCACTGGGGGAACTGTAGATGCTTCCACAAGTTAATATAAATATTACTGAAGAATAAGCGTACATTTTAATCTCATTTCAAGGTTTTATTAAATTGTATTACCTTTATTTTTGTTGTCTTGTCATATATTATTTCTGTATGTTGTTATTGTCTTTACTTTCTTATGTTCGTTTTTTTTTTTCAAATAAAACTGTTGAAAATTGGTTGTGGTGGAAAAAGTTAATTTTATTTCCATTGTGCTATATGAAAAATCACAATCTGAGGTTAACTTACCCATATAAGTTCTTAAAGTCCAGGAAAAACTTTGCCCTACCTTGGCAGTGGCAATGCTACACTATTGTGTAATTTAAGAACAGATCCTTATATAACTATTTACAAGAAGAGATTATTTTACATACATGCTCGGGCATTTTGAACAAAGGTACAGAGGTTATTTTGACCCCAAGATGGTATTGTCAGTCTCTGTCTTTTTCTTCCTTCTTTCCCCCTCAGTGTTGTAAACTTCAGAAGGAATTTGGAAATGTGTGAAATGTCAGAGTGAACCAAAGGGCATAAGATACCAAGAACATTGATGTAACCAGAATAAAGGCTCCCACACACAGACGCAATACTCAGCTCGGTACGGTACAGGACGATATCTAATTACATTGCGGTAAATGCAGGCCCGCACACTGGCGCGGTACTCCGAGGAACGCGATATTATCGCAGTCAGTATATCGCCTCGGTATTTTGGTCTACCGAGCGCACTCGGTAGACCGCTCGGTATCGCAGCGGTAAATAGTCATGGATCCGTCTTTGGAGGAAGAAGTTTTGCTTTTAGCTGTCGCTCTTGATGAAGACGAAGGTGAATCCCGGCAAGTATTTTACTGAACACTAAATCTGCGTAGTTCTTTTCCTCCACATATTCAGTATGCCATATATATGTACAAATATTTACAATTCCATAACGAGTCTCTAATTAAGTATGTATAAGTGGTTGCTATGTGTGTTCGTATTTAGGCGAAAGAGACGAATCACTTGGGTTCATGATATAAACTTGTCAAGAGAGGAACTAGGGGAGTTTTATACATTGATACCTCAACTCCTGAAGGACGAAAAACGGTTCTACATATATTTCAGGATGAAAATTGACAGGTTTGATGAAATCCTGAGAGCCATCGGGCAAGAAGATATCACTAAACAATATACCAACTGCCGGAGGCCTATTCTTGCCATTAAGTGGAGGATTTTTTGAGACCCATAGAACTGAAAGGAGGAAATATAAAACACACTGTATCAGCAGCGTGTTTGCTTCATAATTTTCTACGTCTCAAAACCCGTGATGAAAAGTACAGGGAAGAACTGCTACGAGTGGAGCCATTGGAAGGAGAAATGTTCCCTATCCAGCCT